CCCCAAAACCCCAAAACCCCAAAACCCCAAAACCCCAGAGGCTATAGCATAGATTGAATGAACTTTTAGTCAATCCCAATACTAGTCGATTGTTTTAGATTCTCTAGAATACCCCCTCTTTATAAGTTCTCAAATAGGCTGGAATTCTTAATGTAAGATTTAGGACTAAACATGCATCTTTAATCTTAAAAATAAAGCAGTAATCTTCCAGTTCTTAGTCTTATAGATTAAGGTAGATTTTATGAAACAACCAAGCTAAGATTATGGAGAATATTTTGACTCTCTACTTTACTAAACTAGAGCTGAAAGACCTTTCTAGATAAATTTATCAATAATACATTAAAAGCAGACTGTTCTTCGGTAAAGATTATGAAATATATTATTGTGATTTTCTCCATTTGAGAATTTTAAATTTACTTTGTTATATATTCAAAGGTATCCTCTTTTATTCAAAATTTTTAATGTATTTCTTGCTTCTTAGTAATCTCGTCCTGTAAATATTAGTTTTATTTGATCTTTGTTTAGGAATTTTGTGGACGCGCTTTCCTCGTGTTAAATCTCAAGAGTACATATAACTTTAAAACTATCTCTTGATCTTTAGCTCTCATTTGTTTGCTTTCTTACTCATTTAATTTTTCTCTTCCTCCACTTCACAATTTCTCTGATTAATTATGGCATTTTCAAGAGTATTTCTGCCTCTCTTTCATCAAGATATCATTGATCTCTAACTTCCTCAAGAATAGCCAGAATATCTTCAAATGTGTTTTGCTTAAAATAAGCCGAATCTTTAACAAACTAATGTTCTGCTCTCTTTAATTATTTTTGAGATCATCTGCCTAATTTAGCTCCTGAAATGTGAATCAGAATGAATGCTCCTTCGCCTATGGATTCAGCAGAATCAGGCTTTTAACCCCTGATTCCGTGTCTAAATATAGCCCAAAGAATTTTGATATGAAAATGTGAATTTTTTAAATTGTTAGGCAAAAAGTATTAGCAATGCTCCATTTTTTAAGATATTTGTGCAGGTCGTCATGCCAGGCTTTTATTGGAGGACAAGATCTGCTTTAACTAGTTCTACCTTTTTGATTTATAGAGAAAAATTGAGGGTCTGTTTTGAGATAGTGGAAGAAATTTTCTTGAATTTTTTCAAAATCTCAGGATAAAGGTAATAAATTGTCATGATATCTAGAAAGTAAAAGTATTGGGCTTAATTCATTGGATCGAAAAAGATGTTTATTAATAAACATCAATTACTAAAATAAAAACAATTTTTTTAAATGAACTTGAAAGATAGAACTATTCTTGATAATAGTGTTACAATTAGAGTCAAAGATATATAGCAAACCTTTGATAGGATCGTTATCATCCTTTGAATAAAAAAGTTCAATCAGAAGTCTTAATTTCTTTGGAGCTAATCATAGAACCTTTGTAGATAATAACTCGATAACATTTGTTATAAATAGGCACTATTAAATCGACTATTGTATAGTTCACCTTTCAGTTCTACATTCACTGAAACAAAATATTAATTGAATAATTTGCTCTTGTTCTTTTCAAATTGTACTTCACAGTTGTTTCTAGATTCTTTATATCGAGACAGATGTTAGATGATCTAGGCAAATATTAGTACACCTTCTCTACCTACTTCACTCTTAAAAGAATTAGCTCCTAATTTAGCAATATCGTTACGAGGACGAGTACTGAAAAGAGTCAAGTTAGTACTACTCTTTGTTATTAATAAATGAGAAGATTAAAACCAACTACAAAGCCTGAGTTATCTGTTTTATGATTCTCTTTATATGTGAATTTCGAGTTTCATATTGGCTGAAATGTGACTCATTGTATTATTTTCATATATATGAATAACTAATAAAATATATCTAAACCTATTCAAGACCGTCTTGAATATCAAATTCAGGTCTTGAGGTTTACTCTTCATATTTTCTCTATATTTTTCAAATGTCTGCATTGAACCATAAATGAGCAGTATTTATTTAATCCTTGCTTCTTTCCTTTAGAACTTTTGTCATAAAGTTAATTAATTCTTGATTTTAAGATGCAAAAGGAATGAGGAAAATTAGGTATACAAGAATACTCATTAGGAAAATAAATTCTTTAGTGGTTGATGAATTGAATAAAACAATTATTTATTTCCTTTTCTTATTCTTTGTATTTTTACCAGAGACTTTCTTACTAGCTTTTTTACTCTTCTTCTTTATCTCAGATATATTGTGCTCTGAAGATGTATTTTGAGTGTCTTCTAAATATTGATTAATTTCAAGGTGTTTTATACACCTCCCTTCTATCTCAAAACTTTCTCTCCTCAGTAACCATAATCCAGCACTAATATTAATCTTCCTTCCATCCACCCTAACAGATACCACCTTTCTTCTTCCCCACTACTCAATCATTACCCTCCTACCACCCCTTTTCTACCCATACTCCCTTCTTCCACCCACTAGTCCCACAAAACTCCTACTCTAAAATCCCCCTCTAAACCATCAGCCTCCATCTCTCCTTCATTTTCTCTTCCTCTTCAGCCACTTGGCTCAATAATTCTAAGTCTTATCCTTAATAATTCCTGGCAACCACAGAAACTGTGGTTGCACCCTCCCCCAACCTGAGGGTGGTGCTGGGATTTTTGGAATAAGGCCTTGGCATCTAGGTTTTGGGAAGGTACTGAAGAATTGTTCATTTAATTTCTGAGATTTGGCGCTTTGTTCAGGAGTGTCAGGGACGAAGAATCTGGAAGGATCGGCTTTGATTTGTTTGGCCATAGTATCTGCAGCTCTTTCAAACATGTCCATGACTCTGTTTGTTGCCGGAAGATCTGATGAGCCAAGAAGTGAGCCAGCTGCTGGGTTTTCTGGAGGGAGAGGAGGGCCGAAAGGAATAAAGTTCGAAAAAGGCGGTATTTGAGAGGTGGAAGTGCAGCTATGAGTCGGAAGTTGAGCGGGGGTTGGATTTTGAGTGGTTGTTTGGGAGTTTTTGTTACTGATAGTGCTTGTTTCTTTCTGGGTTTTCTCTTGATGGTGAGTTATTTCAGCCTGTTTTTTATGGATGAGTTTAGTTTTCTCTTCGATATCTTTGGTCTTTTGGATAATTTCTGTTTCTTTTTGGGAAATGAGCTTATCCTTCTGTTGGCAGAGTTTCTTTATGTCTTGTAGTTCTTTAAGAACGATTTCGTGTTCAGATTTGTCAACACTAAGGTTTGGTTTCTCTGATTCATTTTTTGAGCTCTCTTTCGGCTTCTTTTTAGCTTCTTGGTCACAGAAATTCATGTAATTAGATTGCCTGTTGTATTCTGAAAATAATTTGGAATTTAGGATTGAGCTCAACAACTCTTTTGCTTGGATATGAATGTATGGAATCTTTCTCCAATTGTTTTCAGCTTCTGCTGTTTCTAAATCATCTTTAAGCTGGATATTGTTTATAGTAAATTCTTCTAGACCTGGGAGCAACTTTTGCCAGAATTTATCAAGATTATGAGCTTCTTTAAAAGTGTCAATCTTTGCTAAACTGTATTCAGATAAGTTTATGCAATCTAGAACAATTTCAGTAGCAGGTATCTTTATTGCCTCTTCGTCAACATAAAGATTAAGTGCACACCTCTTGCATGCAAAAATATCTTCATCTAATATATTATCAGGAGTAGACTTTATCAGATATGCAACCACCCCACAGTCATTCCTAACCTCACATTTAGGAAGCCTCATGCTTATTTACTAAATATTATTAACTATCACATATAATTCCTTGGGGTTTTGGGGTTTTGGGGTTTTGGGGTTTTGGGG